GAAGACAGTCAAAGCCCCAGCTCCCAACAAGCTCGGTATTGGCAAGGCTCTCCCGAGTCTGCTAAAGCTGATCACCTTAAAACAAGGGTGAATTTGATCCACAGCAATTATTAATTTGTCATGAAACACCCCACAAACTGCGTATGGTATTACAATGGAGTGATATTATAATCATACCGTAGTAATGATATTATAATTTCATTGTACTAAATTGTATGTAGCAAATTCCTGTCTGGAAGAGGGTTAGATTTACACCATCTTCCACCTGCAACTGGAGGCAGCTTTTCTACAAAAAAGCACCCAGACAGAACCTCCTGTTCAGCTGAAATCTCCCAGATGAGGCGTGTTAAGTCTTTCAGCAGGGCCAAGGGGACCACTGGATCAGTGTAAAGAGTGGGAATTACTGCACGTGACACTGAGAGACAGGCTGTACCCAAAACCCACCATGATCCTGCCACTGGACTCTAGAGAAATACAGAGTTCCCCAGAAACAGCAATGTCTCAGACAGGTGGACATGCAGCAGGCAGAGCTTTGTCCTCTGGTGTCTTCAGGAAAAACAACAGAAGCTGATGTACCCTTTATTTGAACAACAGAGTAATAAAATATACATGTGTCATTTTACATTCTTTCTGCCTAATTTCACTGTAGTAAAAGACATTTTTCTTTCCTTCATCAGCATTCAATATTCTACTAAATTTTGGGATTGCTATTACCTACCCCACCTTGATTTCTCTTGGAATTGTACTGAGTGTCCCAGTGAATGCAGGTAAGATTTTTCTGTCTATTGCATCTTAATGAATACATTAAATCCGTGGCCTTTCAAATACACAGCAGGGATAAAAGAAAATAGATTTATTAAACATGTTTTGTACCTTCTCTCAAAGACTTACATAGATGACACTCATTAAAAATTTATTATTTATGTGTTATATATGTATTGTATAATATTACATGAATATTCATAATCCCTAAAATTGGTTTTTAAATTACTGTCTGAAGAAGCCTGCATACTGAAAAACAAAGTTGATTTGAAGACATTCATCTCTGGGCTAGAATAAAGCCCCATGGATAAAGCAGAAATCAGTTTTTAATGATTTCTTCAAGGCAGGCTTAACACTAAATTCAAACAAATAAAATTGCTTACATTTTAGAGCAGATATGTACTAGTAACTCTGCTTGCTGTGGTAAATAACACTGTGGGTGTTTATCAAGAACACTGGACAATTCAGTTTTGGACATGGCCTGGTACATATCTCTGACAGTTTTTCTGAAGTGTAGTGAAAGCCAAGAGACTGCAGAGTCTGAAAGGGCTGGGCAGGGGAGTGCAGACACAGCCCCAACCTAAAGCAGCTCCTAAAACCCAGCAGGCTCAGCTGGTGCCACGGTGCAGGTGGCAGCTCCCAGCTTTATGCTGACTAAGTGCACACAGAGCTGGGCACTGCTCCCGCAGATTTGGCTACCAAAAAGGTGTGATCCTTCCAGAGTGTGTGGATGGCTCAGCCTGGGCAGGGTTTCTTACTTCACAGGGCACTCAGGGTGACAAGAAAAGTTTTCAATCAGGAGCTGCTGTGCTGGGAGGGGAAATGCCCCTTTCTCTGTGTCCCTGCACCTCAGCAGGAGCTGCTGTGCTGTTGGTGGACATACCCTGCTGTGTGGTCACCCAGCAGGAAATAGTGTCCTTGCCATCATTGCCTCCATGGCCATGTTCTCCTGCCACAGCCAGCCCTCAGAGCTGGGGAGGTGAGGGGGAGGACAGGGGATACCGTTCTAACGCCATTTCCCATGTAATAACACCTGTTCAACGTCCCACACAGTTGTTGATCACTACACGAGTGAAATTGTCTTCAATAGTGTCCGAGTAATCGCCATCATCATTATTGGCCTGGGCTTCCTCCTGTTGCTCTTGCCAGAGGAATGGGATGTCTGGGTAATAAAGCTCCTCACACGTCTCAAAGTCCGGAAGAAGGAAGAAGTTCCCGAAGGGAATGGAGACATTGCTTCAGGACTGCCTAATAAAAGCCGGAGAACTCGCCCTTCCATGTCATCCTTTGCTCATTAAATGCTCTTTTTACCAAAACTCTGTGGTTAACGTTACATATGATGATGCAAAGGTCTTTTCTTGGGAAGAAGCACACCTGTCCAACACGGTGTACATACCTGTACAGTTTTGATATGATCACCATCTAAAGCATCGAGTCTTGGCATGTCCAGTTTGCTTGTACTTTTTCCACATCTGATCTTTCACTTAAGTAGTACACTGAAAAAAACTGCAAACCAAGAACCTCTCTTCTCTTTTTAAATGAATGTAATATATAGTCAAAATATATTTGCATAGGTTATTTTAAAGAATGACTTTCATGAAAAGCAGGGCAGACATTTTGTACATTAGGTACTGAATGATGCATTGCACACTGTGATTTAAAAGAAACAAATGCTATGCTACATCACATGTTTATTTTTTGACCAGAGCTGTACTTTGAAAGTTTTCAAGGAGCAAAAAAAAAAAGGGAATCTTTTTGGGGACGGGAAGATGGGGGGAAGAGTGGAAGGAAGATTTAGAAATCACTCTATGTAGGTGGGCGCATGTTGCGCTGCAAACAGGGAAAATTCAAGCGCAAAAAATGCTTGCACTAAAGCATAGAGAGAAAGCAGTCTAGAGCCCAAATCTCCTTATTCTGCATATGACTGTAGTCCACATTTAAAACCATGCAAGAGAAATCCAGTGCCTTCTACAGAACTCTTGTCTTTATCCACGCAGAACCAGGTCCTGCTGCGAGGCACTTGCAAAAGCAGGGCTCAGGTCCGTGGCCCCGGAGGACCCCAAATTCCCACTGACATCAGGACGTGCCTCCCGTACACGCCGTGGCTTCTGTGGGAGCGTGGGGCCCAGGGCACTGCAAGTTCGAGCGCAGGAGACCTGGTTCTCTTCTCACTTCACAGGTTTTACCCCTGTGTGGAGCTGCGCTTGATTAATGCCAATGTGAGGAAGGGGAAATCTTGGTCACGTGTGGGACAATCCGACCGAAAATGAGCAAAGGGGCTGGCAAGAGCGTGGTTGCTGATGTACAGTCTGAGAGCATGGACTAAGGGGGTGAATCGCCAGTTGCTTTTACTCCATAATTGTGAGTGTTAAGAGTTAAAAATGTAAGATATTTACATCAAATGTAACACTTTTTATGAAACTTGTAAGCACCAGGATGTTTACTTATGCGATTTTGGTTCGCCATTAAATTTCTATCTGTGATAGATCACATGCTATGTAAAAAGGGGGGGAAAAAAGGTTATAGTTTACTATTTTTGAAGTTTACATTGTTGCATACAAAATTAAAAGTGTTCTTTTGAACTGCTGCCATAGCCTAAGGTTCCTGCTGCCACTGAGGTCCTCTTTGTCTCAGGCAGGGGTGGCATCCACTTCAAAACATTTTAGCAAATCAACTTCAGATTCCATTATCTGTTTGGCAAAGCTAAATAATAAAAGATTTTAAACTCAGCCTCAGTCAATGCTATCCTTTTCCTTCTCTTGATTGAGCTTTTATTGCAGTTCTGCTGTGGGTAGTATTTGGCTGAAGTGATCAGAAGGGGGAGACACGACCACCAAAGCAACCAAGGCTGCATCTCAAGGCACTGCTGGTGCATCTGTGCAAGACAGCAAAGTCTGCTCTACACTGCCTGGACAAATCCATCTACAGCAATGCTGTTGGGCACCAGTCAGGAAACAGACATCCAGCAGAAGCAGACCAAAGGAAAAACTGATTTGAATGCATCAGTGAGCAGCCATACGTGCATATGCTAACAGGCCATGTTTAGGGCCATGTGTGGGGCATGAATTTGTACATTCTGGACTGGACCAAGCCCTAGTCCAGTCTGTGTGCTTGTCCCCACCCATATTGCTTGATGACCAGACACTAAAGACTTGTTTACAGAGATTACACCCCTGAATTTTTATATCTGTTTCTTTGGAAAGAGGAGGGTAAAGGCACAGGTACACAGGGTAAAGACAGGAGCACAGGTACAACTCAAATAACTGCATTGAGGGGCACACATAGAGACCTGACCTTCAAAACTCCCAGATTCAAGTTTATTTCATCTTCGGACAAATCATTTTGTCATTCTCAAGGGTGTCATCCTCCCCAAGCCTCCTCTCTGAGCAAGGCCAGACCAGACAAGAATATATAAGTAGTCCATCCATTTTCAATAGCCCCAGAAAGTGGCACCTTCTGTGATCTCCACACTTCATTCTGTTGTATGTTTGATGCAGTCTGTAAGTATTCAAAAGGCTCCAAATGCCATTTTCAAAACTGCAACTAATGTGTGCTTTTAAACAAAAGGGAAGCAGGTTTTTAAGCATTCAGTATGGATTGGGGGGGAATTTACGCACCAGAATGGATAGCAGCATTAGTAAAACTGTGATTTACCAAATGCAGCTAAGTCATTGCTTCTGTTGGCTCATCCTTCCTGAGAACAGGCTAAACACATGCAAGGACTGGATTTCAAACACCACTTCATGAACCATCTCTCTTCTGAGTGGGAACTGTGCAAATTAGATTTACCTGTGTGAAGCAATTCTTAGCTAGCCATATTAACCAGATGAAATGAACTACATTTCTTCAGGCAACACCTTGCCCTAAGCATAAGCACCTGACTTGACAGTAAGCCATTGGGTGGAAAAACCTCCCAGACAGTGAAGTCCAGTGAAGTCCATTAAGACAACAAGAATGCAGCATGTCCATGTGGTACATGTGCACATCTCTAAGTGCCAAAGCATCATAGGTGTGAAGCTGAGGAATGAAAAAACCTGGGTTTTTTGTCAAAAACTTGTTGGAAAGCAAACAAGCCGTTGGCTTTCTGCAGAAGGACAAGCCAGAGCAAACCCCTCTGAGAAGGCATTAGATGTAACCAGGCCACCCTTCAGCTGAAAGCAAGATTGAACTCCTGATCTCAGACTGTGAAAGGATGCCCAGGACAAATTCAGTGCCTTGGAGAGGAGGGCTGAGCTGTGGCAGACTGTGCTGCTCGCCCTCAGAGGCGCTGTGTGCAATCCCTGCAGCAGCCTGAGTCAGACCCGCTGCTGCCCTGTATGGACCCCACACTGCCCTGCAGGGCCCTACCTGCTCTGCAGCACGCAGCCACACGAGCCTGGAATTAGCACTTTTAGCCCACCACTGGCCACCTTGCACCTCCTCCTTAGGCAGAACTGCAGGTCCCTCCAGTGTGAGGCTTCTTCAGGTGTCTCCTGCATCATCAGTGTGTCTCCTGCCCTCACAGAGCACTGCCAGCCACAAGGGTGCACCCTTGGTCAAGGGCTGACCTCGACTGGCAACTTTCTGCCCCAGCTTAGCCCTCAAAGTGTCCAGTAACAACCCAGTGGGGTTGTTATAACAGCAAGTTGAGGGGAAAAAAATCTCAGAAAAGCAAATAGCATTACCAGACCTCACTGCAGCTGCTGGCTTCCACTGCTGCACAATACAGCAGAGAGAAGGCACAGCAGTCCTCCTCCTGCCTTGTGTGCCTTTGTCCCTGTCCTGTTGTCTCCTGCTGCTACCTTTATAATATTTTTTTATTGCAACTCTTCACAGTGACTGCATGAGCCTTTTATCAGCACATGGGTCAGAGATGGGCTTATTTTAAAAAGCTTTTCCTGATCTTCTGTCTAGAATGGCTGCATTCATATCAGTAGTCTCCAGAAAACAGCCACAAAGGGCAGAAATCCAACCACAATAATCAACAGATGAACAAAAGACACTGAAACCAGTATGTAGCTTAACTTTTAACTTAACTGTTTTGGGAGCTGAGGGTAGACTAGCAGGACCTATAGATCACCAAGTTCTGGGGCCGAATTGATATTTCCTGTGAGCTTGGGAACAAATCTCCCATCCTCAACTCTCCAGAGCATCTAAAACAAAACCAGAGCAACACTGAGCTGGTCAATTACTAAAGATACTGTATCTTCAACTTACAGAGAAGGCAATATGACCAGGCTGACACCATTTCTGATGAAAAACCTGTCTATGATAGTGTCTGCAGGCCCAAAAACAAACAGAACTGAAGGTTTCCCTGTGCAGTGAGTGAACATGAAGCCTAGACGGATTTGCATAGCTCTGGATCATATTCCAAATAAACTCAACTAAAAAGTTGAGTTGTGCTGAAATAAGCACAACTGAAGCACACAGAAACACCCTGCTCTTCACTGAAAGGATGTAGATTCTCCAGCCCTTCAGAAGCCCTAGGAATAGCACCAGCCACCTTGTATTGGCTGTGTGGGCTCAGACAGCAGCCTGGGACTGGGCATTTCCTCCAGGAAGGGGGAAAGAAAAGCAGCCAGAAGTAATGCAGCTCATGTGAAGCAGAAGCAGAGGAGAGCTGATGATAGAATCAGAAATAAATGCTTTCTGTGAAACACCTTCCAGGGCAAGATACTCACCTGTCCATTACAATGACTCCAGTTTGTAGAAATGGAGTTTGTGCACGTGCTGTAAAGCCATAAACTACAGCAAGTTCAGCTCCATGTCCACTGCTTGTGCTGCAGAAAGATTGGAGTCTTAAAGGCCTCCAAACCTAAACTATTCCTTGGTAAAGGCCAAGGCTGAGAAATTTCTTTCAGGGTCCAGTCCTCATGCAAGCTCACTCTGCAGAAACTGCCTGCAGAAATAGATTTTGATGGGTGAGTTTAATTACCTCATAATTAATAATAATAATTATTATTACCTCATAATAATTTTTAAAGTAGAAGCAACCAGATTCTCTTCTTTAGCTGGCATGTTCTAGGGCATTCCCATAATAATCTGCACCTTATGCAAAAGTCCTGAACATTAAAAAGGAAGTAAGGAAAAAAAAGAGCTTAAAGATCTTATGACCTGTAGCCTAAAAATCTTTAGAGGGGAAATCATGAGGACAGGACCAGTAGCTCAAACTAATGCTTCTGAAAATAATAAACCATATATTTTTCTACCTGAAGTTCTGTTAGTGGGATCTTCATATGCACAAGTTAATTTTAAAGAAGGTGGCAAATAGTATTTATCTGAATACTTTACAGATATACTAGCATAAAAACAACCTCTCAGAAGTGAAGAGTGAAACTTCTAAGCAGAGTTACAATTCTGGAAAAGGCTTAAACAAGGGAGGTTGTGGAGCTCACATTAGCAATGTACTTAGGAGCCTCTTATATGCAATTTTTCTACAATGACCTAGAGGCAGTTCTTTAATCCTACTGCTGAAGCAGATGATCCCTTCAGAAGAGAAATAATTTTTTCCAGCTCTTTACCCACAGATTTCCCTTCTCTCCTAGATTTAGTCCCCCTAACATCTCAAGAGAGCCATCAGTGCATTGACTGGGAGCAACAGCAATCAAAGAGCTATTTTGCTGTTTGGCTACGTGACAGTGGCAGATCCCCCTCTCAGTGTTAGTCTCTTGAATCAGTAAAAAAAGTATTATCAGTAAAAGGGGTTTTTTTACCAATCATTTGACTATCATTGACCAAGAAGATTGGTCTCAGCACAGCTCCTTTGGTAATCTCTCTCCTTTTGAACAGCAATATATTTTTCCTGCTATTTCCTGCCTCATTACTCAGTTACTAAGCCACAAGAAAATGTCCTTTTATCCACAGTAGCTTCATTTCTTTGGTAAGAAGCATCATTAAAAATACTTTAAAAACCTAAGAGCAGTGTTTCTGATTATCTAAACAAAAAAAGAGCAAAGGCAAGTCTGCAGAAAGTCATCCTTCCTTCAGACTCCTTTTAACATGAAAGGACACAACAACCAAGAGCCTGAGACTTCAGCAACATTTTGCCTTTCCTTAAGGGAGGGTTTTCTTGCCTACAGAGTATTTACACCAAAACTCCAGCTCGGAAGAAGATGACCAGACACTTAGAAGATTCTTGAATCTTCTAAGATTAAGACTTGGATTCCTGTGAGTTCCAAGCAGCAGGATTTGTAAATACTTAAAAAATGTGAACTTGTCTTTCCTGGCTATGAGCATGTATTATGGGCCAGTGAATGTAGCTTTCCAGTCTCCCTGCAATAGGTCCCACTGCCCCTTTGGCTTCTGAAGCTGCCAGATTTTTAATGACTGCAGCCTAGAGAGCAGAGTAAACTGCAGAATGGTCTCCTGGTGATTTTTGGCGAATTATACATTTAAAATGCCTTCCTGACTTGTACACAAAGCATTGCTCTTTCATTGTGTGACTCTGGATTTGGTCAAAGGCATGTCACTTGCTAACTTGGCTACTGAGAAAATTAATATTGATCTTGGCAGCAAATACCATGTTTGAGAACGATGCTGCCTTTGTGCATGTGTAAGCAATCCCATCTGGTACAGTACACCTACATTTCAGACAACATTTATAGTGCACATAAGGTAACTGGTGCATCTGCAGGGTTATTAAATACAATACCTGAATGCAGGAATTCAAATGGGTATTTTATAAAAAATGGAAGGATATGCTTCAGTCTCAGAGAGAACTAGGAACCACTTCCTTTCTTTAGTACATAACATGTCACAGAAATTTTAAGACATCCAGTTAAACCCAAAAGATGAGTTTTCCTCCTCTAACACACCTTTGAAAACTGAAGTCTGCTTGTAGAACAGGTGGATTTCCAGTTTGACATCTAGTTTTATTGCAAAAAGCTGAGCATCAACATTGCAGCAAAGCGAAGCTGTCTCATCCTTGGCTGGCTTGGAAAATTGCTATGCAGGAGCCAATAGAAGAAGAATTAGTCAGTCTTCCCACCATCGCCTGCTTTTCCCAAAATACTCCTTTTTCTGCTTTCTTCCTTTCTAACAACTGAGCAAAAATGGAAGTCTGGCATTAAAAACAAGTGCCTACAAATAATGTAGATTACTTCATCACTCTAAAGGAATCCAAAACCTTCAGTTTTTGAACTTTTTCTTCACCATAATCACCACTCTTTAAGGTACCTAGTGATTTTCAGACCACACTCCACAGAGTACTCCACTGATGTCCATGACAGGTGACAAAGATAAGACAAGCCTTTGCTCAGCAGGCTTCAAATCACCCAACACAGGCCTGGAGAAGGTGAAGAATCACCATTCTGTCTATTCTTTCTCCTCTGTCTCCATATCAGCCTGCACAGATGGCTCATCTTTCCCAGCCAAATCCCCTCCAGCGCTGCCTGATGAATGCACGCAGCCAGCCCTCCGGTACACACGGAGCTGCACACAAAGCTGGGGCACTGTCTCTGCCTCTGTCCCTCCCCGGTGTCCCAAGCCCTGCTGTGCTGCATCCTCTCTCTTCACATCACACTGGCACTCCCTAGTGCCGGGATACAACACCCAGCAAAGAGAGTCTCCTGAAAAAATTAAGAATCCCAACACACAGTTACAAAACAAACAAACAAACAAACAAACCCATGTGATAATTCACATCTTCTTAGGGATCTGGAGAACTGATCTGCTAAGACCACCCAACAAAAGCTACACTTTTCTCCTCCTTCTTTATTCATACATAAACCTAAATTTTTGATAACTCATCTGAAGTTTAGGCATGCTATTGTTAGAGAGAAATTCACAAAAGTAAAACACAGACTGAAGTCTTTATGAAATAATGGAGTGCTTTGCATAAGGCCATAGCAAGTACAGTATATACTTCTTAAATGTTTCCAATCTATGATTACTGTACACAGTTCATGAGGCTTCTTTGCTTAATTTACTCCTTTTTAATAATAAAACCAGCTGCAATTGATCACTGTAATGACTTTGCTTTTTTATAATTATTTTCTTTTGCCGAGCATAACAAGGAACACTGTATGGCCAAAGGAGTCAGAGTTACATCCTTAATGGATATTTAAGAATAAGGTGGGGAGGAAGGAAAGAATTCCAATATATAGTTCTCTTGAACTACGTATATTTTAATTTTATAAAAAAAATTCCTTGTTATTCCACAACAGAAGAAAACACCCCAGGCTACTGTAATTGTTATTATTTCCAGCAAGATAAATAGTTAGATGAAAGGCTATACAGCTTGAAGAACTCATTTTTAAATTCAGTTCCCTAAACATCTGTCATGGATAAGGATCATACATCAGAATACTTCAATGAAAGAAAAACAGATTAGCTGAACTGATGTACTGTAGCACACAGGTACATCAGGGATTGCTTCTATTATTGGTCATGGGGACACCTATAACATACTAATTGCTTCCAAGGTAAAGGGAAAAATCATTATAGTTACAAATTAAGAATCTGCTGGGAAAATTTCAATGAAATACAGGCTTAGTAAGGTTGTAGGTGAGGAGTGAGCTGTTAGGCATTAACTGGAAGGCAAAGCACACACAATGCCCTATCCCAATTAGCAAGAACAGGCACAAAAGAGCTTGAGAGCTGAACCACAGTGTAAACACCACATGATTCACTTTAACACAATGCTGGCAGGAGTTTCAGTGGGAAACTGGCATCTATTTCTTTACCATCTATCTTGCTAAATGCTAAATAGAAATGTAATTCAAAGGCTTCAACTGCAGCAACCAGCACACCTAACAAGTCTGGAATTTTTTTCTCCCCCTTTCTAGAGCATTAGCCTCTGCCTATTACTATAAATATCCCATTCATTACTCCCTGGGCACATTTCCCAAAATAAAAGAATAAAGATAAATATTTAGAATTGGCTAACTAACAACAAGAAACCTCCACCCCCTTATAGACAGCAGTTTAACCAAATGGAAATATTGCCATTAAAAATTTATTATCTGAATCTGTGTATTTTTTTATTCATGCACTTTCTAAAACCGTATCACTAAATTTCCTTAATATCCATTACACAGAGTTATTTACAATTGTCTCCAGTGAGTACTTGTTGGGCTACAGGTCATTAAAGAATAAACTATTTATCACAAATATCCCAGTTGAGCTACTTGGGCTTTGTGATTAATTATATATAATCACATTATCCTCTCTGTTTCATAAATGCAGTAACTAAACAACTTTACACACATCATAAATTTTGAATTCTAAAACACAACTGGCATTTCCTATTACACTCCATTATCACATGGTTTCGGTCTCGAGACTTAACATTAATTTTCTTTCCAATATTCATGCTTGTAAAACCCTGCTTCATAAAAGCCTGAATGCAAAAGGGTCCTAAGTAAGCTACAGCACAAATTTACTTCTACATTAATTCTTTGCAACATAAAAACAACTGAAATTCTATTTTTACAGTAGCTTAAACTCACGTTAAACCCCTTGTTCTATTATTAGAAACTATATTATTGCATCTCTATCTCTTACCTATCAAAAATAGTTAAACAAATAGGCAAGGAGCATGGGCACATTCACATTGTTCCCCAAGAGTGTCCCTTCCAAAGGGATGTCTGGGCCTTCCAACAAACAAAATCCCCTCCACATCAGGCTGGTTTACCAGGGGGCTCTGCTGAAGATGTGCAAATCTCTGGCCCTCTCCTAAAACAGCTTTTATGGACCAAGATGAGTGAGCGACCTGCAAGGAGAGCCAGGAGAGGATGCCCAGCACTGCCAGCCAGAGTCATTAGCCCGTGCTGAGGAAAAAAGCCAGCTCGAGGTGGGGTGACAGCTACAGCCACCCCCCGAGGCTGAGCGCCTCACACACCAGACAGAGCATCGGCTACCAGCAAACTCCCGGGAGAGCTGCTGGACATTCTGGGAACTGCCAGGAAGAACAGCCTATAAAGGTGCCCGGGCATCTGGGAGCTGCCAAAGGCTCAGCAGCTGGCAGAGTTAGGCTCTTCCCAGCTGCCAAAATGTCACCTTCCCCAAAACCGCAGCATGTTACTATGGGAACGTTGTCCATTGCTTTCAAAACTGCTCAACTGGTCCCCATTTCCAGGAGGAATTGACGCATGAAAGGAGACCGACAATTCTTTGGTGTACAGGAAATGCCACCAAGTCCCAAATGAAACAATGAAGCAGCTTCTGGATGCTCCCTACCAGAACTGCAGACCTGACTGCCCACAGGCTTCTCTTGCTCTTTTCCCATCTCCACTATGGGTACATTTTTCTTTCACTGGGGTAATCAGCTCGACTCAGTGACAGAGTCCGTTCCAAGAAACCTTTCTAGAGCAGTTTGAGCATGCTGAATTAATTCAATGGACCAGCTCTCAGGGGAAACCTGCTGCAAGGAAAACTGTCAAAAATGCATTATATGTATATGCTATCTTTATCAGCCTGCCACCCAGTCACTACCTTACTGTTATGCTATTTAAAGTGCTGTAAATGCTCTCAGACTTTTTTTCCCCGCCAATTCATAGAATTAACAAAGCCTGAAGTAGCTCAGACCTCGTGCCCTTGCCCAGCATTACTGGAACTTGCGTTCCAACTCCTAGGGCTTTATAAACACCACACGGAAACTGGTCCTGGCCCCAAAGATTTTACACAGTGATTTCATCCAGCTGTCTGTCTTAGGCGTCAAAAAGGAAAGCAGAGACACCTCTTTTCTATGAACAGACAATCCGCTATGGCACTGCACGGAGCTCACGACAGGGATGTTTATAGCGTGCTAGACACCAGAGGGCCATACCGGAAAGAAACTAAGCACAGAAAAAAGCACATCAGGCAACTGGTACTTCCAAATGTCTTTTTTTGCGACCTGGCGGGGACGTGACGGGAGGAACCCTGAGGAGATGCGACATCCGCAGCAGGTCTGGGCCGGCACCGCGGGGTGGGACAAAGGCAGGGGAGGGACAGGAGGAGGGGAGGGACAGGAGGAGGGGAGGGACACGGCGGGCCCCGGCCGCGCCCCGGGAAAGCGCCGCGATCGCTTCCGGAGCGCGACCTTGGCAGTCGGGCGGTGAGTGAGG